CATTCTTATATATGCATTTTCATGGAGATATAGGCCGGTGGTGTATAAGGATATGTTCAATACATCTCTCGAGAGAGTGTTAAATAGATTTAGGAGCACTGATTCGTCAGTAATTCAATCATGTTGTCATTTTGTGAAATTAGGGTTAAGATTGATCATTATATGAGAATTCGTGATCCTAGTGTTTTTAATTTTCATTGAATACAATCAATTTGCGTTCTAAACATTTAATTTGCATTTTAATTCATTAAAATATTGTTTTGCACATTGAGTTCATTCCAATCATCAAGTTTGAATAATTAAGGTTTTTAGAAATCAGGGTTTTACTAAATTAGGGTTTTTTCTAAGAATAAATTTTTGTTTTGAAGAATTTGTTTCGGTTAAGGCCAAGATAGTTAGAATTAAACTACTCAATCTCTGTGGGACGATATTTGAAACTTGACATTCTAATTTATTACTTGTTAACGAACTGTACTCTTGCGGTAATATTAAGTCGAAAGAAATATTTCGTCAACAAGTTTTTGGCGTCGTTTCCGGGAATTAAGTATTCGTTTAATTTTATTTATATTGGTACTAATTTGAACATTCAACTTTGCATTTTCGGTTATTTTGTTGAGTTTTATTTAATTTTATTCAATTTCATTTTTGATTTGCATGTTAAGGTCAGCTGAAGGAGAATTGATCCCAACTGATCCAGAAATCGAACGAACTCTACATCGAAGACAGTGAGAAAACAGAAAGGCACAACAACAAATGACTAACGTGCAGAATAATCCAATTTTTAGGCCAATGAAGAAGGGGCAGCGGATGAAGGAAATATGCTCGTGGGAGATTTCATGACCCCTCAGATAACTCAAAGCAGTCAAGCATTGTATATCCACCAATTGTATGAATTTCCAACTGAATACTAATGTGATACAATTATTTCAAAGCGGCCCTCAATTCTATGGAAGGACTGAAGAGAATCCACATACGCATATTTCTCGTTTTCTGGAAATGTACCAACACTTTCTATATCGAGGAATCCCAGAGGATGCAATAAGATTATGGTTGTTCCCACATGCATTGCGCGACAAGACAACTGAATGGCTAGATTCGCAACCAATCGCAAGCATCACCACATGGAATGATCTAGTCCAGAAATTCTGCACTAAGTTCTTCCCACCTGCTAAGATTGCAAAGCTCAAGCACGACATCTCTGTTTTCCGCCAAGGTGACTTAGAGAATTTTGATGAAGTCTGGACTAGGTTCAAGAATATGCTACGAAAGTGTTCACACCATGGAATTAACAAGGGACTTCAGGTCCAATACTTCTATGCGGGATTACTCCCAGCCTTCAAAAGCATGGTTGATTCATCTTCTAATGGATTGTTGTCCACAAAGACAATTGATAATGCACTGAAACTTTTCAAGACTATGGCCACCACTTCAGCTATGTGGACATCGAAACGAGTAGTTTAGAAGAAGACACAATGGGTTTATGAAGTGGATGATTATTCCGCCTTGTTAGCAAAAATTAATTCATTATTTCACAAGGTAGAGAACATGACACAATCAGTTACAGTAGCACAGTTGAAGAAGGCCAGTTGTGAAGAATGTGGAATTGAACATGTAGCAGCAGAATGTCCAATCTTGGTACAAGGAGTAGAGCAGATAGATTTTGCTCAATAGGGATAGCGACAGCAAAATAACACATATGGGGAACATATAATTCAAGTTGGAAAAGCACCCAATTTTCTTTTGGAGCAATAAAAACTAGAATAAACCACAGGGTCAAAATCAGCAGCCAGAGAAAAAGCCTCAATTGGAAGAGATGTTTGGTAAATTCATGGAGTAGACGAATCAATATATGGAAGCTAACAACCAATTCATGAGGAAAATCGAAGCCACTCTTCAAGATCAGAATGCAACACTAAAAAAATTAAAGACTCAAATGGGACAGAGGGCAGTTGCTTTGACTAACGTTGCCTATTACTTTTTTCATTGGTTTCGAGAAAAAATGCCCACTCCTGACCGTTCATACAAATATTTACCTTATATATACCTTTTTAGCTTCTCTTACACCTTTCATAGTCTACATCTTAAGACAAAAAATGAAGGTGATTTTCGTTCCACTGTCGATGAGGAAGAATGAAGACGAAGAATTGGAATCCATTGTGGTGACCGACTATGTAGAGGAGGATCTAAAGCTCGCGATCAAGGACCACAAGGCCAGATTTTTACTTCTTTTTTGCCAATGCTTTTGTGGATATCATGTAGAGAATACAAAGACTGTGTTCTCTTCATCAGAACTGACTAATCAGTCGACGAAAAATTAAACACTGAAATGGAGTCGACCCTAAAGGTTCCTTTTCAACTCTAAAATTTCTACTTTTTTAATTTTTGTCCGTTTGTTTTTCTTTAAGACTTTTAACGATTCGATTATTTTTCAGTACAGGAATGTTAGATTTTCGAAATTTGGCCCCTACCAAAAAGAAATTGAGAAAATTTTAGATGGTAAAGATTGCTTAGGTGATTACATCCATTGGCAATGGTAAGTTGTTTATTAGCACTTTTCAAACATGGATCTCTCTAACTACCCTCTGTTTATTAAGTCTTATTTCGTGCAAGTGGGATTAATAATTTGGACTATATCATTATTGCATGGTTAGGATATCATAATATTCTTGGATATTCATAAAGTCTATACCCGCTATTTTTTTATTTTTTTATTTATCTGTTTTGAAAATGTTAAATTTACAAAAGTTAACTATTTTATATTTCACATAAAAAATGAAAAACATAAATTAGTAAATTTTACTTGTTAATATTAAAAATACAACTCATTACAAGATAATATAGGCATTTTAAAGAAATATTCATATGACATATTATGACAAGCCATGCCCGAGCAATGTAGAGGTAGCCTAATAACAGGAGTTGATCACTTAAAGTTGTGAAAGCAATAAATATTGTGAAAGACAAACTACACAATATGAATCACCTAAGAAAGTACTAAGGCCATGTTTGAGTTACATTTTTTTTAAAAAAAAAAAATACATTTTTAAACAGTGATTTGACATCATTTCAACCATACATTCTTCAATAAAATATTATTACATGCAAATTCAAATATTTTCTTTATTTTTTAACCATACATTTTTTATCAATACACTATTTAAAAATGCATTCTTAGAAATATAATGTGGCTCAAACAATGGCTAAAACAACAACTAGATTAAGTATGAAGTGTAGCCCAAACCCATGTGTAGCACCCATAACACTTCTTGAAAATATTTGCAAAAATTCAAATCACTTATCAAGTACTCATAGCACACCCACATGATTTGTTTCAATTGGTTTTGTCTATTTTATCTAGTCTAGAATTAGGTGCCTTAAACTTTGTACCCATCATTTCATAGAATTAATTCTAGAGTACCTATTAAAGCATTAATGGCACATGACTCATAGTACTTTATTACATAAGTAACCATATATCACATGTTACATGACTCTAGAGAATAGTGCTTTATTTTCTAAATAATCACACGACAAACCGTAAAAATGACCCATAACTTTGTGTCCCGTCATATGTTCCCTAACTAACCTTATTTTTGCAAAAAGATAAAATAATTAATTTGAAGATTTTTAACTAAACATCATATAGATGAGTGAAATTATGAATTAGCTTAAGATGACAAAACTCAAGTGATATTTTTTAGTCACTCGTCAATCTCAACAATCTATTAAGCATTTTCGAATTTCATTATTTGAAAACTCCATGTTTTTAATGCTTAAGTAAACAAAAAAAATATCTGTTGAAATCCACGTCCCACAAGATTGCAATGTTTTTTAATGTGGTGTATTCTTTTGCCTTTTTATGATAGTCTATGCGGATTAGACTAACGTTGCCTATTACTTTTTTCATTGGTCTTCGGAAAAACAATGAAGAAATATGTTTGCTTCATTATTAGACCTAAAAACGAGTGAAAACAATCTAGAAATTTGTTTTCTTGACTATTTGACACGATAAATAAATATGAAATTTATTTCAAAAAAGAAAAAAAAAAGAGAGAGAGAAAACCACAAATCTAGAGGCAATGACACCAAAGATTTAAGCATCTTGACATCACACTTCAATCATAACTATTATCTTAAATTTTAAATCACGTGCAGCATTAAATTCGTGCAATTCGAAAATTTTATTTTCATTGTGTTTCATTATTCTCTTTGCCATCTAGTTGAGTACATCTTGAAATTTTTGCACCCATTTTGGGTGTACTAGTGCAGCTAAAGAAGAAAATTTATTGGAACTTTAAAGGTGAAGTCAGGGTGCTCTTTTCACTATTACTACTTTTCTTGAAAAGAGAGAATCTCAATTACTATTCATCTATGATTTCTCCTCACATGTTGCCTGTGTGGACAAAAACAGCAAGTCATGATTATTGACTGATAACATCTCATTTTTTATTACTCCCAACACTCAATTAATATTGTTTAGGCCTCCACCGTTCAATCCCATGCCACCCATTTCACACTTCAAATCCTGTTAGGTATCCAACTCTTCACCGTTCATACAAATATCTGCCTTATATATACCTTTTTAGCTTCTCTTACACCTTTCGAAGTCTATATCTTAAGGAAAAAAATGAAGGTGATTTTCGTTCCACTGTCGATGAGGAAGAATGAAGACGAAGAATTGGGATCCACTGTGGTCACCGACGATGTAGAGGAGGATCTAAAGCTCGCGATCAAGGACCACAAGGCATGGTTTCTACTTCTTTTTTGCCTATGCTTTCGTGGATATCATGTAGAGAATACAAAGAATGTGTTCTCTTCATTAGAACTAACTAATCAGTCGACGAAAAATTAAAAACTGAAATGGAGTCGACCCTTAAGGTTCGTTTTCAACTCTCAAATTTCTACTTTTTTAATTTCTATCCGTTTGTTTTTCTTTAAGACTTTTAATGATTTGATTATTTTTCAGTACAGGAATGTTATATTTTTGAAATTTTTTGCCCCTAAAAAAAAGAAATTGAGAAAATTTTAGATGGTAAAGATTGCTTAGGTGATTACAGCCACTGGCAGTGGTATGTTGTTGTTGTAAGCTTCAATTTGTTACTGTGTTTTGCATTATAATCTTAATACAATTGTTTGTTTGAAGAAATATACTTCTAATTAACCATTTTCCTTTAGACGAAGGCAGTTACGGTCAAGGACAAGATCTAGCTACCTTCTATTTGGCCGCGAAAAGCCTATGCACAAGGTCCTAGGCAGAGGGAAATGTACGGATGTATATCTCTCTATTGATTAATTTTACACATCTATTAGATATTTATGCAGGATCTTGGTGTTTTGATTGGCAAATGACTAATTTTTTTATGTGTGTTTATGTTACTGGTGCAATTGTAGTTGTGTGAGATTTTGACTAAAGATCTATTTAAGGTTGATCCAACTTAATTGCTACTGTTTAGTTGCCATGTGAAAATAGAATCGCTGTTCTGGAATCGTTTATAGCTTTTTACTACTGATAATTTATTCATTTTACCCTTTTTATTTTGAATTCTTACCATACTTCTGACACTTGAACCTTTAACATTCACAAAAATGTAGTAAGGGGTACAAATAAACAAGGGAATATATTCAAATGCGAAATTATGAATTACACTCTAATTCTTGCATTTTTCGAGGAATCAAGTAGAGACATCAACAATTCTAGATACCTGTCTAATTTAAAATCAGAGTTATGAGTTTATTCTCCTTTCCATGGATACTTGTACATCTTTCCACTTGAATTATCTTACTGATTTTTGGCAGCTGCTGATGTTTTCCTGTGGAGGGAAAAGAAAATTTATGCTAGCATGCTTATTCTTCGTTACATCTCTATTGTCAAGTAGGCTGTGGATTAATTAGGTTCTTGGAAGTGGAACTATGATAATTTAAAGGGAAAATTTAGAAAAGTATCTTCTTCAGAAATTGTGAATAATGTTGCAATAATTTCATTAATCAATTGTGGGCATATACATCAATTAGAGTAAATCAAAGAATGATGAAATCATAGTAGTCCATTGATGTGAGCACATGATCTCTTATGATCACTTTCCCTCGTATAATAGAAATTTCTACAATTGTGGGGATACACTTCTGTTGGATTGAACTTTTGTATTTTTCATTTTTTAAGTCTGATATTTATATTCTATTTTTGCTTTAGCAGTTGTATTCGATCTAAGTTTGAAGTTTAATTCTATTCACTTCTCACTTCTAATGTAGGTCCTGTAGCAGAATATGCATTCCATTGACAAGCAAGGATTATGGGACCTTCAACAGTCCTTATTCTGGAGGTGTATTTTTTGGTTTCCATTCATTTTCCCCTCGATTACCCTTTTATATGCTTGTATCCTCTACATTAGTTGTATAGTAACTTCCCATCTTTGAGTCATTTGCTCACTTGTATTTAGATCGAACTCTGATAGTGAAAAGCAGATAACTGTGCAGGAAGATTTCTTTCTCTTACTAGGTGTCGAAACCCTTCATACCTTATCAGTTTCTAAGCTAAACGATATAAACATATTATAATATGTAATGATTTACCCTATCCCCAAGTGCAATTTTGCAGAATAAGTTTACGAGTTCATTCTCTTCTTTTTCTGGTTCTTTTTCCTGCTACGTTTTGCAAAATGAATTCCTGAAATTTCAACTTCTTCTCCCCTGGAAGTTCTTTCAATAGGTAGATGTTGAGCACATAAACTATATATTTGTGTTCATTGTTGAAACTCTATGAATATCATTGGTAATTACTCAAAACAATACTACAAAATTTTTTATTTAATATCTTGTTGAAAAGAGTTTGTTTTCCCCTATCCTTGGAGAGTTTGTGGTTCTTCCAAATAGTTATTGTTTCCATGGAGATTATGTTGATGAACTCAGTGACCCAAATAGCTGATTTATTCTTTGTTTCTGGTTGCTTTTACAACAAAATGTTTTCCACCCAACATCAATAGCAATGGAAGCATTTGCCTTGATATTCTTAATGGTACAATCATATTACATGTGCATCATTCTCTACATCTTGGTTTGTATTCTTCCTCATGGAACCATCTTCCTTTGATTTTCCAGCAATCTTTCACATCACTGCCCATAGTGTGCTACATAGCGGGAATGTCATCCATGGTGCATGGGAAAATGTACATCTAGCATTATTGATCTAAGGTAATTAATTTTTTTTCGTTATAATAATGAGATGACATCATTTAATGAATTGTGGCTATACACGTTCAAACTTGGACTAAATTAATTTTAATGTATGGGTTTCCACACTCGATATATCATACATTATTGTCTGTGTTTGTGTTCCCATTTATGACTAGTTTCAGAGTCTTATGCATTGGCTTCATCATTTAGCTATATAACAGATTACAATGTATGCTCGGGATTCATTTAGTTCTTGTTTGGACAATACACTAACTTGGTTCGGAAGACAGGAAAAATAAATCAGGGATTTGGCTTGGGTTTTAGGTGATTTTAAAATTGGTAATCAAAGTAAACTTATTTTATTACTTAGTTATGAGAAAAATTGTCGGGTTGAAGTCACCAAAGTAAACAACCGATCCAATATGATGATCATAATTACAACAAATAAAAAATAATAATAATAATAATAAATCTTTTAATATGTTGAGGAATATCCCTATCAATAATTATCTAGGAAATGGCGACATTCCATATATAGAAATAAACTCCTGAGTATGATCTTCTCTTACTTTTCTTTAAACCATTTTCCAAGTTGCATGCACATGTTGGATTGCCATTATCGTATACGATAGATCTTCACATTTCATATGCCAATATTATCGAGTTTAGATTCTCAAAATTTAAACTCTCTCTCCAGATATACTATTATTACCCTTTGACTGCTCCTTTGGACCTTACTAAGGTTTACAATAACATCCAATGGAATAGCACAAAGGCCCAACACGTTGACACAATAATTCATATGAGACGCGACTGGGTAAGTTCCTCATTTTAATTCCATTATGTCTTCTCATTTCTTCATGCACCTTAAATGCTTCATCTCTATTTTTCAAAGAGTAAAATCATATGTAAATTGACCACATTAAATTAAATTCATTTTCCTTACCTCATTGAATACTAATTTTACCTTCAAAATAACTCTGCCCGTGCACTGCACGGGCAACAAACTAGTTTATACATAAAATTCATGCATGTAACACAAACCAACCCTCCCCCCCTTCAAACGCATAATTTAATTCATTTTTAAATATGTAGTGATGTCTATTATTTAACAAGAGCACGTGCCCATTTATTTATATTATAAGATATAACATGAATCACCAAAATCATTTCAAAATAAATTTAGTACCTTCCAAGAGCGTAAATCAGAGGTGGGTGGAAAGAAATTTGTTATATATTTTCTTCGTGTGTTGAAATATTCTTGCAATTACAAGAAACACGGAAATCATTTTTAGTAAAGGAATGCCTAAGGTTTCTTTCTAATTTTAGGTCCTTTATTTAATGATAAGATTGCAGTAATTAATTAATTATCGAATTCATTGGAGTCAAAATTGTGCTAATTACCAAATTCATTACATTGAATATTGGGCTGATTCCATTCTTCTTTACTGTCCAAATACAAATTCAATCAAACGAAAAATATATAAATGTTAAGATCAAGCCAATGTTTAATTTATTTAATAACAAATTAAAACATCATAAGCTTATTATAACATATCATATTATGTGTTATATGTTCAATTGAATTGCATTATAATTAACTTTAATTGGCACGTCGATCATAAGGCGTCCAAGGTATACTCCATTACAAAACATGGTTATTCACAAAGACAATAAATTAACATTTCGCATCATACATATATGTAAATTGAAGAAAAGAAAGTGCGGCGTTACAAAAGGAATCTCATCTTTTGGATATTAAAATTTATTTTAATTTCACTATTTATTTAATACCAACTCTAATATTTTTTTTGTGTTCGTTTGACTTTATTTTACATGAAATTTGTTAATTTAAGGGATATCCTCTTTTACAATTATTCTTATAATTTGTTTCCATTGCAAAAAATAAAATAAAATAAAAAAGGTGGAAAACATAAAACCATCTACCCAAGGAAAAATGAATTCCCCAAAAATAAGGAATTGGTGCACGTGTGAGTCAAAGGTGGAAAACCAATTGTCTAGAAAATTTTTACTATCAAACAAGCCCAAAGTGAGAAATGAAATTTGTTTTCCATTTTCCATGGAAAATTTTGCGATATCAAACATGGCCAAAGTGCTTTTTTTTTTATTATTTTTTTATACTTATAAAAAGAAATTTCAATAATTAATTGTTTGGTAGAGATTTTGTTAATTGATTTTTTGACCGTTAGAGATAAAGTGGGTTCCACCTGTGAGAATAATTCAAAAATAACGGTTGAAATAGTGAAATAACGGTTAAAAAATTGATGTTAATTGAATTAAAATCCCTACCAAACATGCTAAAAATTATAAACATGACTTGAGTAATATCTAACACTTAATTCAGGCCTGTCAATCAATCATTACATATGCAACTACTATTACTATTGGCGATAGATGCTAAAATAGGTTTCCCGTTTCCTTAACAATTAAGTGACTTTTCATTTGATCAATTCAAGCAGTCATTTTCGAGAATTCATTTAAGGATGTTCACAATATAATTTTAGATTCTATTTTTCAATGAATAATGTTATTTACAGTCGTCCACTATTATAGTAGCCCTATGTGACATACATGTGGTGGTATCGAATCACTAACCACCACATGTACAGTACGTAGGACGACTACGACAGTGAACGATTGTAAATAACATTACTCTTTTTCAAATGATTGTACGATATAGCATGGAAATTTATTATGCAATTGATTGTTTAAAAATATGCATCCTAACTTTTTAAAGTTCCAAGAAATTTGCTTTCTTGGCTTCGATAATACAACGAGAATTGATTCAAGGGTGTATGCAATGTAGTTTTTGGTTCTATTTTTCAAAATGATGGTACGATCAAGCATGGCATTCACTGTGCAATTGATTGCTTGAAAATATGAGTTCCAAGAAATTTCCATTCTTAGTTTATTGGAGCACAATTCACTATGCCCTCAACTAGAAAGGCAAAAAGTAGATGAAACAAGATTCAAAAAAGGGGAAACGAGTTCATGATTCCATGAATTTAATGCTGCACGTAATTTAAAGAGTGTGATTGTGTCAAGTTGCAAGAAATTTGCTCTCTTGGCTTCAGAATTAATTCAAGTGTTTGCAAAATAATGGTACGATCAAGCATGGGCAAATACTGTGCAATTGATTGCTTGAAGAGTTCCAAGAAATTTTCTTTCTTAGCTTATTGGAGCACAATTCACTATGCACTCAACTTGAAAGGCCAAAAGTAATAAGATTAAAAATAATAATAATAAAAAGTAAAAATTCATGATTGCATGAATTTAATGCTGCACATAATTTAAGAGAGTGTGATTGTGTCAAGTTGCAAAAATCTTTCGTATCGTTGCCTCAGAATATGTGATTTTCTTCTTCTCTCATTTTAGTAAATTGTATCTTTTTTCTTTTTTGTGTCTAATAATTAAGAAAACATATTTATTGATTGTTTTTATTCATTTGGCGTAAGATTATTTTTGTTTGTGACAGTTGAAAACAATTGCGGAATTGATTGTTGAGTTGGACCAGTGTCTGAAAATGTAAAATTTGAGTTTTACCAACTTAAGCTAATTGATTATGTAACTTGTATGAATTAGGTTCGCGTGAAAACTCTTCAAACTATTACTTAATCTTTTTGCCAAAACATGTACATGAAACAATTAATTTTTACCCCATATTCATTTTATGGATCATATTTTTGTTTTCTTGTATGATTATTTAGGTAATGAAATAGTAGACTCTAATGCCACGAAACATATAATGTCTGAATAAGTACTCTGTAATTTATTCTATGAAATGATGGGACTCGAAGCTGCCAAATGCTAGACTAAATTAAATAGAAAAAATTCATTTGAAAATAAATCATGTGACTCTACTGTTAGTACACAAGTTATTAGGGTTTTATTGTAAATTTTAGGAATGGTATGGCAATACTGTAATATTTAAATCCTTTCCACATTATAGTTTACACTTTTTGTCCAATATTCTCCTTGATTTTTTATTT